ACTGACGACCGCCTGGGGCGGTGGGCGTCGGGCGGGCTCGGGAGGATCCGGGGTCGGGGCCCGGCGCTGGGAGTGAGGTCCGGCCGGGCTGGATGGTTACCGCCGGGCTCCGGCCCGCACACGGGCTGGCCGCGACTGCGAGCTGATGAGAACGCACTCGTTGCTCTTGGGGGATGCGGCGGGGAAGGAAGCCAGGTCCCTGGAGCCTTCCAGACCCTTCCTGCGTGGCTGGGGCTTGAGCGCAGGCTGCCAGCCCTCCTCCGACCCAGCTTCTGGCCAGCTTGTCCTGGCCGTGGTCTCCGGGGCTTTCCCCCCCGGGCTAGCTCTGAACCGCTATCCCCTACCTAAGCCTCCGGAGCAGAGCTAGATTACAGGTGTGCGCCCCAGATTCCTGGCTTGGAGCTTGAGCTTTGGTGGGTGGTGAGGCCTCAGAGCACGGCAGAGACCCTAAGAGATCACACCCGCAGATGTGCGCCCAGCGCGCAGAGCCACGAGCCACGTGTGCAGGCCACAGACACGCAAAGGCCAACGACAGGGCCTTCGGTGGGCTTTATTGGACAGAAGGCTTTGCTGCTGTTGTCTTCCTTCAGGCAGGGAGCCAGGTAGAGCGCACCCGAGCGCATGAGCCCATCCCAGAAACTCCTTCAAGACGCAGCTCCTCCAGGTAACACACAGGGAGTCGCGTGTCCTGATGGTCAGGCACTGGGAAGGTGGCCGGAGCCTCGTCTGGGGGGCCCAGCCCAGCCACGGCGGCAGCAGCAGCAGCAGCAGCAGCAGCAGGGCCCGGGTGCTCCGGCTGTGGCCAGGACCTTCCTGGGGCTGCTTCCCAGTAGCCCCGCCTCACACGCATCCCTCTCATCCCGCAGCCTCGTGTTCAGCTCCCTGTGGAGGACGGTGTGAGGTCTGAGAAGGCCGAGGGGCTAAGATCTCGGGGTCGGAGATCTGGGGTGGGCCCTCGGGCCTGAGCGGTGGAGGGCAGACATAAGCAAGCACTTCCTCCTACAACGGGGCCCAAGCCCAGGATATTTGAGCGCGGAGCCCCAAGCCCCGTTGAGCCCTGTCCGTCCGCACCTGAGCAGCTCCAGCTGCCTTAGGAGGCTCAGTTTCTCTTTCTGCATGTTCCGAGAGACAGCAACCACGTCCCTGAGGATGAAGGAGGAACAGATGCAGGCCGACGACCCCCCAGGCCCCCCAGAGGTCCTTCACCTGAACCCCTCAGCCCCCGGGGCAGCGCTGGGTTCTGTGACAGGGGTGGAAGTGCCACCCCTGAGCCGCCGGCCCTCGGCCCAGGGCCCGGCCCCGCCCGCCCCGCACCTTTGGGTTTGCTCCAGGCGGCCCTGCGCGTCGCCCTCCAGCCGGCGGAGCCGCTCCTGAGCCCCGTCCAGCTGCGTGCGCAGCGCCTGGTAGGCCCGCAGCAGCTGGCCGTGCTGGGCCTGCGCTTCCCGGTGCTCCGCGGCGCGAGCCTGCAGCTCCTGTTCCAGCTAGGGGCGTCGGGGTGCAGGCTGGCGAGGAGGGCCGGTGGCTCCCCCGCGGGA